GATTTGGTCGACTGTCTTGTTCGAAGATCTCTGATCATTTTTTGATAATTTGTGATTTTTCTTTTTCTTCACCAAAATCCGCCTGTAGGAGGACATGTCCGACCCAACACAGAGCAGGAGGGTGTGCGAAGAAGCTGCGGCGCGGAGCTGGTTCCAGCTCCGGCGCGCCGCGGGCGTTGTTTCCTCGATGCCTCTGGCGCCGGAAAACGCCGGAGAAACAAGCTGCACGGGCTTATCCGCTCATGCCCCTCTGCTGCAGTCGAGGCCCATGCCAAGAAACACCCTGCTTGCCTCCAGGGTGCCCTGGGTTCCTTGGGTTTCGATGGGCATGCTGTGGAAAGCGCGACGCTCCCACGCCCAAACTCCGTGGACGTCCTGGGGTCTCAGGGTTGGGTTTCTTGTGGACGGTTTCTTCTGGACTGGCCTCCGCTGTATCCCCCCGCTTCGCCGTTGAAAAGTCCGAGCCCGGCCCTCGCCGGTCAGCGATTCGGGCAGCCATAGGCAGCTTGATGGGCGGCGGGGGTCTCCGGGTAGGGTTCGGTATTTGTCGAGCGCGTGGCGAAGTCGGGACCCTACAGTCGGGGCGTTGACCTAAGGAACCCTAAATAAGGAACGAGGCCCCTTGTATCCATAAGTTAAAATGTACCCCCGCCTCGACTGTACCCCCACCTCCCATCGATTCAGGAGGATCGATGGTTGGTGGGGTAGGGTTCGGATACCGCCACCTGCTGTTGCCTTTTCTTCCCTCCTGTGAGCGTCGGTGATGGCACTATGCATGACGGACCCTCTGGTCGCCCCGCATCCTGTGCCAGCGTGTCCAAGTATTCGGCGGCGCCCCATGCTCGAAACGGCGCCCGCACTCAAGACGGAGCGAAAGTCAGGACGGAGCGAAAGTCTAGACGGAACGAAAGTCGAGCTCAACACGGTGGCCCCACGCTCAAGACGGAGCGAAAGTCAGGACGCACCGAGGCGCCAGTCCGGCGGCACGTCCCGAGGTCGGGCAGGAGGGCCACAGGCCTGCGTGTGGGCGTATCGGCCATGTCGAGGTTCGACGGTCGAGATTCTTGGCCGCTCGGGGGCCGTCCTGGGCCCGAGGGAGGCCCCTCGTCGGCTTTCTCCAGGCCCGGAGCTGAGACCGTCAAGAAGGAGTCGGGATGAAACCGCTGTCCTGGCTGTGGGGCTTGCCGCGTCACTTGGCGCGCGAGGACAACAGATCCTCATCCTGCTCCGAGCTTCCGGGAGCATCCGAGAACTTCCAGAGTTGCTTCGAGATGCCGGGAGACCTGCAGCAACCTTCCGAAGGCCTCCGACAAGTTCAGAATATAGTTGAGCTTGCGAAATCTTGAAGCCTCGTTGTCGTCGTCGGCGGCGACGTCGGTGGCGACAACTGAGCGACGCAGACAAACGGGTTCGACTGCGCGGACATTCGCACGTACACTGCCCACGTAAGGTCGCGCGAAAGCGCTCTCGCTTCCAATGCAGCGTGCCGCGCTGGCGGCCCGCCTGAGCCACCGTGGAGGGTCGCTATGCCATCGTGCGTAAGACCTGTTTCTTTTCGTGGCTCGATTGACGACGGCGGCGATGGCGGCGGCGACGACAACGACTCAGAGGAGGAAAAGGTACCCAGACCGCCACACTTCCCTCGTTGTCCCCTTCTTGGGCCTCCTGGGAGGCCCCCGTCGCCACCGCTGGATTCGCCCCGAAATCCTGGTCAGAACGCACCCCAGGAGAGGTCCAGGGTGTAGCGTGTAGCGGTATCGGTACCTTTTGGTGTCCCCAACGACGGCTCGCCACGGCACGGCCTTTCGGCGGCCGCGGCCGTGTGCCGCGCGGAAGGTGCGGAAGGTCGACGACGACGACGACGACGGCGACGATGACAACGACGTGGACGAGCTAAAGCCTCCGAAAGCTTCGGAAGACTCCAGAATCCTGGGGAAGCCCCGGGCAGCCTCTGAAACCCTTCAAAAGTTTCTGGACGCTTCGATCGGGAAGCTTTCAGAAGCACCCGAGAGCCTCCGAGAATCTTCAGAAGCCTCCAGAAGCTGCCCGAACGCCTCTGGACGCCTCGCTCTAAGCCTCAAGCGCAGGCTCCGCAGGCCGTTGTGCAGCAAGCCTCCCGAAAGCTTTCGGAGCGCCTCCGGAAGCCCCGCGAAAGCCCTCTCGCGACGGCCCTCTCGCGACGGCCTCCCGACAGCCTCTCGCGAGAGCCCCCCCCCCGAGCGGTGGCGGAGGCCTGCCGCGAGGGGCCACCGGGGGGCGCGCGTGCACGCCTGCCCCGGCGAGAGGCGCCGCGCCTTCGGTGGGCAAGATGGGCGGCCAGGAGGGCGGCGCGTAGCTGCCAACCCGCTGGTCGGCGCGGCTGGAGGAGAGCGGGGCTGGCCACCCCTTTGCCTATTTTTTTTGCATTTTTTTTTGCCGCCTCCGCCCATACCTCCCCGCCTCCTCCTCCTCGTGCTCCTCCTCCTCCTCCTCCTGCTCCTCCTCCTCCTCCTCCTGCTCCTCCTCCTCCTCCTCGTCCTCCTCCTCCTCCTCCTCCTCCTCCTCCTCCTGCTCCTCATCCTCGACGACGACGACGACGACGACGACAACGCCGTTCGACGGCGGCCAACGCCGTTCGACGGCGGCGGATTCGAGGATCGAGGCTCCCTGGGGCTCGGGCGGTGCCACTCTGTCACTGGGCGTGATCGTCCAGCCTGGTGCCCTGGGGCCAGCACGCCTCGATCCGGCTCGAGAGATGCAGTGGAGAGATAGGGTCTGGGGCTCTGGTCGTGGCTTCTCGCGATGCTGTCGGCGTCACACAGACATACAAATACCGTGTGTGATCCGCCCCCCAGGGGCGACGCGCGCGCCGAGAAAGCTTATAGTATAAGCTCTGTGGCGGGCGCTTTCTAGCCATACCGCTCGGGAAACGACATACTGATTACAAAATTGCTAGATTCGGTCGGACGCACACCTCCAAGGATCACATACAGCACCAGTATGTCCTTGTGCGTCCCATGCTACACTCTTGGCAGCCTCGCACCGCAGGGCTGTTTTGCGGAGGCCCCCGCCGCCTTGTCTGGGTCCTCCGCCGGCCCGTCGTCGCCGCGGCCGGGCTTTCCCGCCAGAGTTCTGGCCGGGGTGCACGCCCGGACGGGTGCGGGGGCCGACGTTGACTTCTGAGCCGGAGGTGCACACATCCTTGGCGGCGCGCTTCGACAGGAACCGCGGGCATCAGACTCGCTTGGCGCTGTCATGTGTAGAGGCCAAGATGACCGCCGATAGGGTCTGAGGAGGCCCGGGACACTGATTTCCCAGTGGCCCTTGAACTAAGTCGTCGACGGCGTCGGCGTCTCTTCGCCTCGGGGGGCCGTGGCGCCTCCGGAGGCCCTCGTCGCCACGGCGCCCGCGCAGCTGGGGGATTTGGGCCCCGGGAGGGGTCCAGGGGCCAATCTTGAGCGGTCTGTGACGTACAGTCAACCCGAATAGTAAGGATGGGCAACCTTCCCAAGGGTACCCTTGCGTCCTTGCCTCCTCGGTCCATCCTTCGCCGCTTTCGCTGGCCGCGCCCCGCTCGAAAACCTTCGAAATGGGCGTCCAAGGCCCTTGCATCCTTATCGCGCCTCCTGACTATACTGGTTGACTGTACTGCCGTGCAGAAGCGGGGGATCAAAGTGTGCGTTGTCCGCGGTACATCTCTTCGGGAAGACATCTGATACGGTTTTTTTTGCCCTTATGGTTATATGTTTCTGAATGGTGGTAATGCCAGGGCCTCCCTCCCGTGTATACATCTATACATATATACATATATATATATAGAGAGAGAGAGAGAGAGAGAGGCGGTCTGTACGCAAGCAGCCATTGAGACTCAAGGGGGCCATCCTGGCGCCGTGCCGCTCTAGCCCTGAGCTCCGCAAGGATCACACTCCTGCACATCGCCGCTCTTGCGCTTGGCTTGCGCCAGAGTGCGGCCTCGAGGCAAGTTTTTGCGCCGGCTGTCAGTGTTGTTGGCGATTGAGGTTTTTATTGGAGTTTTGGGAGGCCTATGCTTTCGCGGGTGTCTGCAGGTTTTCCGCGGAGGTTCCCCCGAGCCACGTTGGCCTTGGTTTGTGCAGCGACTGGAGGCGCCGTCAGTTTCAGCAGTTCCAACGCCACAATGCCAGAAGTGGTCACAAAGCACTCATTTACGGGCCGCATGTGTGCGGCGTCCCGCGCAGAGGAGTCAGAGCGGCCACAATCGTTGTTCACTGATCCACTGGGTCGCTTCCTTGCTGGTCCAAACGGCATGAACCGTCCAATGGGCGACTGGATTCTCGTTCCGCGGACCCGATTCGGTGATGATTTCTTGGTCAGAAAATATATCGAATCAAATTGTCGCCAGCTAGTGATACTCGGAGCTGGAATGGACGCACGTGCGTACCGACGGTTCACACCGACCCCCGATAGCAGTCCCAGGGATCTCGTTGCGCTCCCAGAGCTGAGCGTCTTCGAGATCGACCAGCCCACAACCTTCGAGGTGAAGGAGCCTCTACTTGAAAGTCTGAGGAAGAAAGGTCTGGCGGAACTTACTGTCAAAGCCCGCCACCCAATCGGCGTGGACTTCAACGACAAGAAGAAGTCGTGGGTCGAGGAGCTAAGCAGGAGCGGGTTTGATCCCGCGGTGCCCACTGTGTGGCTGCTTGAGGGCCTGGTCTATTACCTGCCTGACACAGCAGCAGATCCTGTCGTGACGCAGCTGCTCAAGGACATCGGTGCGTTGTCTGCGCCTGGCTCAGGCGTATTTCACGATTCGATCACGCACAGCTACTCCTTTGAGGGAGTCGCTCCTGGGGGGGCGCCCTTCATCTCTGGAAGCGACGACTACGCTGGGAAATGGCACGACGCCGGCTTCGACGCGGCCTTCGTGCGCAACTTCGGTTCCATCAGGGTCGACAGGAGCCGAAGGCGCCTGCAGCTCGAAGGCGGCTCCCGAGCCGAGGCAGTCCCTTCTGTGTGCGAAGGCCAGAATGTAGTTCTCTTCGTCACCGCCGAAAAAGTCTCGGCGGGCCCGGGCGGGTAAGGCCCAGGGGCGCACTTGGCCGAGGGTGGCGGCCCTCTGAGAGGGCGCCCCCGTGCCTTGGAGCCCGTCTGCCTCCCAAGAAGCCCTTCTCTCGAGGCCTCTGGCAAGGGGCAGGGGCTCCCTGGAAGAGGCCGCGCGCCTCCTCCTCCTCCTCCTCCTCCTCCTCCTCCTCCTCCTCCTCCTCTGAGGCTTAAAAAGTGGCAACAGCTTCACAGATGGAGGGCGGGTGGTTTTCAAAATGTGGCTCTCGCCTAAGCGCCGCGCGCATTCGTTTTCAACATTTGCAAAAGTTTCAAGGATTGAGGGCGGGTAGTTTTCAACATGTGGCTCTCGCTTTAGCGCCGCGCACACTCTTTGTAACAAATTGCAAGAGCTTCACTGATTGAGAGCGGCTCCTTTTCAAAATGTGGCTCTCGCTTTAGTGCCGCGCACATTCTTTGTAAACAATTGCAAGAGTTTCGCGGATTGAGGGCGGTTCCTTTTCAACATGTGGCTCTCGCTTTTGCGGCGCGCACATTTTAAGCAGTTGCAAGAGTTTCACGGATTCCCATGATCAACGTACCAAGAATAATGTTTTAGAAGGGTTCAGGATCATGCGGGTGCAACAGTTGTGTTGGTTCGCCGTGTTGATGTCACGATTCCGGATCGCCTAAGCGCAGCAGTCAGGTTGATGCGTGGCGTTGAAATCCTGAGAACAATGCTTTGGCATGCTTCAGGATCTTCAGACGGTTGTCTTCCAACGAGGTTGTTTCCTCAATGGAAATGAACCGTGTAGGGGCCTATGAAGAGGGAGCTTGGAGGGAGGGTTAGTTCCAACATAGTTGATGACCCTCGTGTTTACACTGGCCCTCCTCCTCCTCCTCCTCCTCCTCCTCCTCCTCCTCCGCACTCTCATGCGCGGACTGCCGCCGAGCCCTCCGGGGCTCCGTTTTGCACCACTCCTCGGGCCAGGCCCGGAGAGTGCGATGACGGGCTTGTTTTCCACCACCACCACCATAAGTTGGAGGGGGAGGGGGTCCTCCTCCTCCTCCTCCTCTTCCTCCTCCTCCTCCTCTTCCAGCTTATGGTGGTGGCGGCGGAAAACAGGCCCATCATGCGAGCCGTGGTCCCGCGGCGGCGTCGCCGAGGAGCCGGGCTTCGCGGTGGCGTCTCGCGCTGCTCGGCGCTCGGCGTGTTCGTCAAGCAGTTGCGAAACGTCGGCCTACCAAACAATATTCTAAGAACATTTCGTGGTCTGCACGAAATGTTCTTAGAACATTTCTGGTCGGGGCTGTCTTGTTTCAGCACATCGGGTTTATGTTCTAAGAACATTGTTTTTGTGATTCGGGCATCTTCGTGTTCTAAGAACATGTCGTGGTAGGCCTATAGATGCCGGGACGGTCGGTCCCTGCTCAAGTTCGGAGTGGCCAGCGCGAAGGGCTGGAGTTGGGGCCAGGCTTGACGCCGGAGGTGGAGCCGTGGCTAAGACCGGCGCGTGTTCCAAGCGGAACAGCCAGCGTGAGGAGCGGAGGCTGCAATAGCAGGCACATTTTGCAAGCTACACGTTATTTGAAGATCTTCGGCCATTGCCGCCAGGCATCGAGGGATCCCTCGTGGTCCCTCGTCACCATTCTTGTCGTTGTCAGCCTCGTACTCGTTCTGTTCATCTTTCTCCTGGCCGCCAAGTGGGGCCTCCTCTCGTTTAGAAAACCAGATCTGATCCCATGGAGCTTCACAAGGTCTATCTTGGGGCCCTCTCAGGCCGCCATCTGGGCCTTTTTGCTGCTCTTTGGGAGCCTACTCGAGCATCCTAGAGTCCCCATCAGAGCGCCCTTGGAGTAACGTTGCCCTCTTGCGGGCTCTTAGGTTACGCAGGAGCCATGTGAGCTCAGTGCGGGGGGCGATCTAGATTGGTGGACGCATTGGCATAACATGCGAAGGATCGTGGCCCTGGGAGTGTGGATGCATTGTGATTTACCATGGACCGTGGCCTTGGCAGCGCGGAGCCATCATACATTACAGTCGGTCGCGGCCCTGATTTATTTGGGATCGATTTTGGTTCTGGGAGCGCGGATCCAGCGTAATTAGCTCACGATCGTGGCCCTGGGAGCATGGATCCAGCGTAATTTACGAGGGCTCATAGCCTCGGGAGCGCGGACCCAGCGTACGGTAGGTTTGCGTCGTGTCGACCAGCGGCGACCCCAGCGTGGGCATTCAAGGTTGAACGCCGCCGGCGACCCAGAATGGGTCGATGTTGAAGGATCGCACGTCTCGGAAAGGGCCGATCGTTCAAGGTTGAACGATCCCCGAGGTGACAGAAACCAACGCTGGGGTCGGCACGACACGAACCTGCCGTAATCTCCCACCACAACTACAACATTGCAGCCGATTCCACGTGATCTTCACAGCCCGGAGGCTCCACAGGCCAGCGTCCCACAGTGCCCCTGCGTCGCTGAAGGAAACAGAATGGTGCCTCCGCCGTACACCTTAGGCGATGCTTAAGAAAACCTAAGTTTTCGGCCAGAGTCTCGATTATTCTTAACGTTTCCATGTAAATCTTCAGATGTTAATAGAAACGTTGGGTTTTTATTCAAGTTCTGAGACTGAGTTTCTTAACCCATGATTTCTTAAGCATTTCGCAGGGTGTAGTGTTCGTGGTACCCTGTGAGTTACAGGTTTGAGCACGTGGAATTGCTTCTCTTGGTCACGCCGGAATTACAAGCCATAAGCAGCGTGTTCGCAAGCTTGAATCAGAAACACACAACCAGGGCCCACTCATGACGCTCAGCACGAACAGCTAAATCACCTACTGCCTAGAAGCTAGAAGCGATGCCTGTGTTCACACGGGACAGATCGAACACATAGACATCGTGAGATGAAACGGATAATGAAAGAGAACAGCCATTAGGGAGGTCGATTCCATCCCCCTTCCTTTCATCCGCCCCCATCTTCCCCTCCTCTTCCCGAGAATGGCGGGGAGCATGATGGGATGGAGGGAACAGCGGAGTGTCTGGATCCCCACGTTCTCTCTTTGTGCTCGAATTTTCACAGGCTGCTTGCACGGGGCCAGGTAGCACTTGCGAGGGGGCAAGGTCCACGAATTTCCGTCAGTGCTATTTTCGGCATGTCGCCACCGAGCTGCAAGCGGAGCGTTTCGCTGCGCTTGGCCGAATTTTCTATGCCGCGCTGCTCCGGAAAATCTCGCCGCGGGTTGGCGCCATGGCCAGCCTGCGTTTTTGGCAGGCGCGCGCGCGCCTGCTGCGAGCAGGTTCACGTCTTCGTTGTGATGGGCTGGCGGCCTGAGCACCCCAGGATGCGAGCCGTGTCTTCGCGGGCTGGAGCGTGCCCCACCACACGCCGTCGTCGACGATGCAGTCAAAGCGTGCATTAACGACGGGTGGCAAAGGCGCAGGATCCTTGGATGCCGAAGTTGGGATTTGGGGGGCGGGGGGCGACCAGAGAGAACGGCAAAGGACGAGCTGCAGAGGCAAGGACACGAGGGCACCCTAGATGAAGGCGCTCGTCCTTACTGGGCGCGTTTACCTGGCATCGCTCGGACGTGTGTATTTTTTTCTCGGGGAGGACCTTTGAGGACCATCCTGGACCATCGAGCAACAAAAAACACGCACGAGACCGACAAATGCACGGGAAATGGACGTCCGAGCGACGGCAAGTGTATTGTATGGGCAAACAGCATGTTACAAATCGTCGCCCTCCTCTTCTCCGCCGCCCTCTCTCCTGCCTCCCCGCCCCACTGCTTGCGTGCTCCCTCCTCCGTCCCTCCGTCCGCCTGCCTCCCTCATCCCTCCGCCCCCCTCCCCCCACTCCTTCCTCCCTCCCTCCCTTCCTTTCTCCCTCCCTTCTTTCATCCTCGTGGAGTGCGCCGGATCTCTCCTGACCTCTGGAGTCGACCCGCGCACGTCCCCGCTAGTATGTACTAGGGTGGAGGACCGCTTGGGAAGACTCAGGCTCGTTGTCAGCGGTACTGGGCCAGAGACTGCGGACACACGACCAGAGACCAGAGATCACGGGGTACGGCCAGAGACAATCAGGAGGGGAAAAAGCACACAGACAGAATTCATCGTCGACTCCCAGGATGATATGGGAAAATATGGGAAGTGGGGGGGAAGACAAAAGCCCAGAAAATATATGAGATCATATGGGGAATCCTGTTATTTGTGTCTGTTTATCTGTGTGCCCCAGGGCCCCTGTCGACAACCAGAGACAACGGGCCACGTCCAGGTGCGGCCAGAGACCACTGGCCACAGCCAGAGACCACGGGCCAGTCATTTTGAGCCGCGCAAGTCGCCCGCTGGCGTTTTTGGCCATACGCCGGACCCTTCAGGACAAAGCTGTGTAGTAAACCGCCCGTCTCTCTCCTCTCCTCCTTCCCCGCCCTCCCTTTTCCTCCTCCTCCTCCTCCAGGCGGCTGTGGTATCCACATCTCCAGGTGAAGACGTCCACTTTCGCCGTCGCCAAAACGACGGCCGAAGGAGCATCGAAGAAGAAGAAGAAGCAGAATAAACAAAAAATGGTCACGATTATGGCCCCCCCTCCCACTCCTCGCCCTCTTCTTGTGGAGGGCCGCTCCCCCCCAGCCCCACAGAGGGCCCGGGGCAGGACCTGCCGGAGGACCTCCCCAGCGACTTCCGCGTGCGCAACACCTTCATCGACACGGGCCCGCTCCTGTCGCCCTCCCTGGAAGGCCCCGCCGCTCCACGGGGGAGAAGCGCACGCCGCCACCCCTCTCGGAGGAGGAGGAGGAGGTAATTGCCCATACAGTGCCGTTTTTAATACATGCTCCGCGTGCGGATCATGTATTAAAGATGCAGGGATTTGTATTAAAAACAACGATGGGTTCATGCATACATTTGTGCATAAGTTAACCATGTATTAAAAATCCCATGTTTGTAAAATTCCAATGTATTAAAAACTGCCCTGTAACCGCCGCCCCTCCCTCGCCGCCACTGTGCTGGATTCGCCTGGGAGCTCCTGGCCAGAGCGCGCCCCCGGGAGAGGCCCAGGGAGCCGCGGTGACGGTATCCTGGGTCCTCCGCGGGGGCGCAGATGATGTCATGTTTCGCGCGTCGCGGTCTGGGCAAGATCGGCCGCTCTGGTCCACGGGGTCGGTGCGAGGGAACGATGCCACGAAGGTAGTCGTGCGTCGCCCATCGCGGGGCGCGATGCGCGACGTTAAGTGACCTGGGTATATTTTGGTTCCTCCACTCTCCACAGTTTCCGCCTCTATTGGCGCACCTTTGCATCCCCATCGAGCGGCCTCCGCGTGCACGCCAGCAGGCTTCGCCAAGCGGGAGTGAAGGTTTCATTTTTCTGGGCCTCCTGTGGGAAGCTCGTCGCTGCGGCCGAATTCGGCTTAAGATCCTGGCCAGAAAGCGCCTGAGTACAGTGGGGGCCCATGCCAAGAAACACCCTGCTTGCCTCCAGTGTGCCCTGGGTTTCTTGGGTTGCGATGGTTTTGCTGTGAAAAGCGCGACGCTCCCGCACTAGAAGTCAATGGACGTCCTGGGGTCTCGTAGTAGTAGTAGTAGTAGTAGTAGTCGTCGTCGTCGTCGTCGTCGTCGTCGTCGTCGTCGTCGTCGTGATAGTAGTAGTAGTAGTAGTAGTAGTAGTAGTAGCAGTAGTAATGCTAGTATTCGTAGTAGTATTTTAGTAGTAGTAGTAGTAGTAGTAGTAGTAGTAGTAGTAGTAGTAGTAGTAGTAGTAGTCGTAGTAGTAGTAGTAGTAGTAGTAGTAGTAGTAGTCGTAGTCGTAGTCGTAGTCGTAGTGGTAGTAGTAGTAGTAGTAGTAGTAGTAGTAGTCGTAGTAGTAGTAGTAGTAGTAGTAGTAGTAGTAATAGTAGTAGTAGTCGTAGTAGTAGTAGCCGCAAAACTAGTATACTAGTAATAGTAAGAATAAGTAGTAGCAGAACAAGGAGAAGCAATTGTGAATTATGAAGTAGTACTAATAGTTGTAGTAAGAAGACAATGTTAGTAATCCATATAGCAACAACATTATTAGCAATCCGAATGATGATACTACTGCTAGTAATAGTAACGATACGAATGACACGAATGATCAGAAATACTTAAGCATGTGGCGACGCTGCCCCTCCCCAGACCCCCTTTCGCATGACTTTCACGTACTTCGAGCAATTTCAGCTGCCATGTGCATGCATTTGTGATCGGCACCTGCTGCGCCTCAAGATACGTACGCTCCTCCTTACCAAGGTGGTGCACCAGGCCGCTGGTCCCACCAATGGAACTTCAGGCGCCACTGGGCCATGTCATTTTGAGCTCCTCCTCCTCTTCCTCGTCCTCCTCCTTCCTCCCTCCCTCCCTCCCTGCGGAGGCTCCTCCCCAGGAGACGGAGGGCGACATAATAATTTGTTTACTTTCTACAGTCAGCAGAATATGGGGCCTTGTAAGGGGGCCCGGGGCGAAGCGCTTGTTCGAGGCATCAGCGCCTCACTGGGACGCAGCAGCGCGAGGCAATGCAGCCTTGTGCGAAGCGTCCATCAGAACGCTTGGGGAGGAGGTTGGGCACCAGCTCAGCATCCCCTCAGCCGTATGGCTGCTTGACATCGATGGTTTCTACGACAGTGTGCTGTGGGAGTACCTGGTGCCGAAGGGACTGGCACTCGGCTTTCCTCGTGCCATTATGTGCCTGGAGGTGCTCTGGTGCGCGGCGCCGAGGCCAGAGCAACTCGTGGGCTTTGCCGATTGGGCCCATTCTGTCGGTGGTCCAAGGGCTGCGCAGTGGCACGAGGTTTGGGCGCATCATGGTGTACTACGTTCTCGACAAAGTATGTTCAGCTCACCCTCGGATGGGCCAGCGAATATGGGTGGATGATCGGGCCCAGCGTGCAATCGGGTCTCGAGGCCAGGTCCGCCAGCTGCTCATATCGAGTTTGAAGGGGACTTGTCAAGGCGTGGCGTCGATAAAGTTGCGAGTGGCGAGCAAGAGCACCGTGGTGTGCTCCCATCACCCCGACGCGATCAAGGTCGCCAGGGCCTTGCGTTTGTCGGGCTTCCATGTCCGAGCTGAACGGTATGCTGGGTATGGGTGTTCGGACCTCGGATGCGGAGGTCGTCACTTCCGAGCTACTCGTCGGAAGCGGGCGGCCAGGTATAAGACGATGCACTCCAATCTGCGACGCTTTGCCCGCGCAGGGCGGAAGTATGTGTTCTCTTCCGAACTTGAGCGCCTGGGAGCTCAGGCGGCGGGCTCGCACGGCTGTCAGATCCACGGGGTTTTCGGCGTTCACATGCAGCAGTGTCGGCAGCGCCTGGGGGCGGCCAACGCCGCGCCTTCCCGTGGACGATTCCTCACGACGTTGCTGGCGATCAAGTCGCCTGCCGATCCCGCTCTGAGGCTGCCAGAGGAATGCCTTCGTACTTGGTTCAGAGCTTGGCAGAGCGAGCCCTCCATTCGCCCAGGAGCATGTCGCATCTGGCCTTCGCTCGTGGAGAAGTTTCGAGGGATTCCGCCTGAGCAACGGTCTCGCCACATACGAGGCCCAGTCTCGGCTACCATCAACCTTTTACTTAGTCACTGATGGGATCCAGCTTCGGCTGCAGATTGGACTAGGCCAGCTGAGACCGCAGAGGGAGAGACAGTTGAATGGCATTTGCCCGACAGTGTGTGGGAAGGCTGGCCAGATGTGGACGATCTTGGACGTTTAGTTCGCGATGTTCAGTTTTCGATTTCACGGAAGCTATGGCGAGATGCAGCTCAGCATTTGTGCGGAGGAGGCATGGGGGATGGCATTGATTGCGTTTCTCTTCGGCGTCTTCACGCGCAGTTGCTGAGCTTAGATCGCGGCAGCAGGTTCTCAGAGCTTCTTGTCGCAGTTGCTGCAGGGGCCGCGTGTACGCCGAGCAGAAGCAGCAACTGTTGAGGGAGTTGATTTGGTTCAGATGTGCCCGCGATGTGGAGAGAAGAAGGAATGTCAGTTTCATCGCATATGGGGCTGCTCGCGCCACAGGGGAGCCCCACGCATATGAGCATTCTGATTGTCTGATGCAGGAAGCATACGTCAAGTGGGAATCAGCTGAATGCGCCTGGCTCCGAGGTTTGTTGCCGTCGAGCTGGGTCAGCATCCCTCCGCCGCCCGAGGAGTAAAGCTGGTTTTCATCAGGTTGCGCCACCAACGATGGACATGCAGTTTGGCTCGGCACAGGGACACGGCATCAGCCCTTATATCTCTTCGGGGATGCTAGTGGTGGCAAGTATTCGAGCGATTCGAGGTTCAGACGGGTGGGCCTCGCAGTTGCAGCTGCGTTCTGTTTCGAGCCTCTCAGTGCGGCCGCTACGGCTACTGGGGCTCTGACTGGCCCTCGCCAGTCGGTGCCGCGAGGCGATTTGCGAGCGCTGCTTTTGGCTGCAGAGTATTCGGCAGGCTCCGTGGTCTACACCACGGACAACCAG